AATATCATGCATATTTTTTTTTATTTTGTAGATATTTACTTCCCCTGTACATAAAGATCGTTAGAGATGTTACACGCTAATAGATGACGCAAAAACTGTTGGTGGAGAGATAGGAAAAACATAAAGAATTGATAAATCTTAAACCAAAATCGAGAAAAAAAAAAAAAGTAAACCTAAACTTTAATAGAAGAAATGAAGAATTAATATGTAAGTGTGAGCACGACAAAGATCAAGATAAGAGCATCATTACACACGGATGTGAAGTGATTAGGGTAGAGACATCGAGAACAAGGGGAGTGAGAACAACTTTCGGAGGAGAAGCAGGAAACAATAGAAATAACACTCGTGAGACTGATAATGATGTTGCAACTGAGAGTGACAACGACCGAAATCAAAATAAATGAATGTAAGAAATACAATGAATGAGCAAAACCAACATTGAATAGTGAGAACAAAATCGATGTTAACTAGACACAAATAATATTGTTATTACATTGTGTTAGTAAAAGAAAAATCGATACCAGGATTGAAAGAACCAGAGAGAGAAGATCGAAAATCATATAGTTAGTTAAAAAATTGATAAAACTGGTAAAAGACACCTGGTGACCACAAAGATAAAAACACATCGATAATCAAAATCGAGAATCGAATAAACAAATTCCGATGTCTATTGTTGAAGAGAATTGAGAAATTAGAATAGTGCAAAGTTAAGATTAAAGGGAATCAAAAGCAATTCAAAGTACTCGATGTCTGAAATCGAGATCGAGGGAACGGTTAATACGCACATAGAACATGGGAAGCGGTTTCTAAACTAAGGCTGACGAAGATCAAAGAGGCAGTTATCTCTTGCATGGGAACATGGAATGCAGTTTTTAAACCGTAACACTAAGAGACTTGCGTGATGGATCGTGGTGGCAGTTTTGTTAACTGCTCTTAGGAGGTTATCTGAAGGGTGCTCTATAAATAGAGCGAAGCTTGTGGAAGAACGGGAAAATTGGCAGAGACAACAGAAGTGCAAGTGAACAAGTCTGCAGAAGAACGACGCATCATGAAGTTTCTAATGCTCTGGATTTCTGTTTTCATTGATTGCCTTTATCGCTTTCTTTACTTTCCCTGGTAAATTTACTTTCATTGCAATTTATGTTTATCAGCTTTAAGTGCTTGCCTTTTCAATTCCTTGCCATTTATTGTTATGCAAAATTTACTTTTATGCAATGTTAAGGTTATAACGTTTAAGATTTTTGTCATTTACATTTCTACAATTTCGATTTCCTGTTATTTATATTTTCACAATCTCGATTTCTTGCCATTTACACTTAATGCAAATTTGAGGTTTCAGTTTACTTCACATTTCTTAATAGAAAACATAAAAAAATAGTACTTTCTGTACCCTAAGTCATGCCGTTTTGCATTATAAGATTCTCGATTCTCATGCATTTTTTTGATTGAAAACTAGTTGCTAGCCTAAGTAAAAAGAATCTACATGGTTGAGATTTGATTAGAACTTAACTCTAGATAAATCGAAATCGATCAAATTTTCACTGAAACATATCAAAAGCAATTCAAAGTACTCGATGTCCGAAATCGAGATCGAGGGAACGGTTAACACGCACATAGAACATGGGCAGCGGTTTCTAAACTAAGAGTCGACGAAGATCAAAGAGGTAGTCATCTCTTGCATGAGAACATGGAATGCGGTTTTTAAACCGTAACACTAAGAGACGTGCGTGATGGATCGTGGTGGCGGTTTTGTTAAGCTGCTCTTAGGAGGTTATCCGAAGGGCGCTCCATAAATAGAGCGAAGCTTGAGGAAGAACGGGAAATTGGCGGAGACAACGAGCGCAAGTGAACAAGTCTGCGGAAGAACGACGCATCATGAAGTTTCTAATGCTTTGGATTTGTTTTCATTAATTTCCTTTATCGCTTTCTTTACTTTCCCTGGTAAATTTACTTTCATTGCAATTTATGTTTATCGGCTTTAAGTGCTTGCCTTTTCAATTCCTTGCCATTTATTGTTATGCAAAATTTACTTCTATGCAATGTTAAGGTTATAACGTTTAAGATTTTTGCCATTTACATTTACGCAATTTCGATTTTACTGTTATTTATATTTCCACAATCTCGATTTCTTGTCATTTACACTTAATGCAAATTTGAGGTTTCGTTTTTATATTTCCCCGCAATTTAATATTCCGCATTGCTTTTCGATTCGACGCT